CAGATCGCCGCAGTCATCGAGAGCTGCGTGCGCGGTAAGCTGTGCAGCCCCTTGCGTTGCACACTGTGGCTGGACACCGGTGAATTGTGATGTGTTGGGATGAATGGCAAACCTGAACCTTGGCTGGGCATATGGCCTGGCCGCCGCTCCCGGGTTGCATCGATCGGCCTGCCATCGCAAGGCCCCTCGGGCTAGCTCTCCCATGTGCAGGGTCCATGTAGGCTTCCAGCGCTGATGTTTCCCAGATTGGTTCCTGGACCCGGCGGTCGGTGGTGCCGCATTTCTTGTGAGCTGCCAGTATAGCGAGGCTCATCGTCCTACATCCCCCTTGCCCGTGATCACCAGGGACTTTCAGGGGAGTTTATTCCACGATTGATGCCACGCGCACTTGGCCGCGTTGCTATGAGCACGGGGTGATTTCGGCCCAGGTGATTGCGCGTATGTTGATGGCCTGGCCGGCTGGTAAGCAGCCATCGCGTGATGCGCCTCGGGATAAAACTGCCCATATGGGCGTGAATATTCGTGAATGTCGATTTACCTCCACGGCTGTTTCCGCCGTGACCGGTACCGCGTTCTTTCCGCGAGTCTTGACGCCAAGGCGCGTGAGCACCGCCGAAGATCGCACACGACTGTGGGTTGTGACAGCGTCGCCCTTGCTCTGCGCCAATTTATTCGCCGCTGCGAGGCTCATCGTGTTAGCTAGCTCACCTCTGTTGAGGGCTGTATAAGGTCCCGTGACTTCGGCCCAACTATCGGCGTCTGGCCCTTTTTCGAGTTGCGACGGGGTGGAGCAAGTTCGGCAGCGCCCTTTATCGCGAGGTACTTCAAGATGCGGCGAGGGCGCCTGGGATCGTTGTGAATGTTCTGAGCTGTTGACCGCACGATCAGTGCCACGCTCTCGTCGAATCGCCACTTGTGCATGGCACCGGGTACCCGCACCGGAAGGCCTAGGGGCCCAAGCCCCTCTCGTCTGTGGTCGGGGCTTCTCGGTAGCGACGAGCGTGCATAAGTTCATAACACAGTGCATAAGTTCCATGCTGCAAGTCCTTGGCACGAACATCAGCGCAGTCGACCCCTTCAGGGGCAAAGGGGAGAGCTCCTCGCCAGGTCCCCCCATATACTCCTTCAACACCCTGCCTGGCGTTTTCTAGACTTGTGCCATTGTCCTAGCATCGCTGCCAGGGACAAAAATCAATGGATGGACCCAATATCGGACATCCCCCGTGTTCAATTACTTGCTGCAATCGCAAGGATTCCTATCCACAAGAACACTGAACCATGTCAGGCTAACATCTTTTGATCTGTTGTCCATGCAGATACAAACACAGTCCCTTAAGCAACAGACAGCCACGACTCTGTTACACTACTAGTAGTAAAAACATGGCCAAAGTACACGGTCCTGAAAATCGTGTACCGTGTTATGCGTGTGAAAATTGTGTACCAATCGAACACGGCTGCCACTGGTCCATGGTTGAAATCTTGTAAAACCGTGTTCTCTATCATGTAGTCCATGGTAAGGTGGGCCAATTTCTGTGCTACAAAGGGCTCAAACTACACGATTTTGACAATCATGTAAATCGGGCTGCAAAGTACCCGATTTTTGCCTGATGTTGACACAATTTTTCACGATCATACATTGCAAAATGGTCGAATTTTCACCAGTGTTAAGAGCTTGCATGTCCCCTTACCTGCAGGGGAATGCTGGGGACTCCGCAGCCAAAGGTGGGTTGGCAGAAAAAGGTGTCTTGTGGCAGTGGTGGTTGTTTGTGCTCCACGGGTATTCTGTTGTTGGTTCCACTTTCCTGGAGCACATGTGGTCGGTAGCTAAGAATCATGGATCTTTGTGTGTGCACTGCATGCTCTTTGGTGTTCAGATCGACTGGGATGCAAGCGCCCCTGTTGATGAGCTCTGGAATCTGCTTTCAAATATAGCTACTCTAATAGTAGTGAGTTTGATTGTTGCTATGCTGTGATGCGTTGCGCGATGGTATTGTATACATATGGCGACTCCAGGCAAACTATTCGATTTCGGCTAAACAATTCGTGAAATCAGCTAACCCAAAGTTTTGAGTAAGAATTTGGGTTAACATGGAGCTTTGCTGGCATGGCACACCTCATCACATTATCTATATTATAGTTTTGAGGTAATGATCGCAATTTGAGCTATTGTTTGCGGTGTGTACTCTGTCAGGCGAAAATTTAAAACTTTGAACAGTTTCCAAGAAAATCAACCAGGGCAGATGACAACGAAGAGAGAGTCATCATTGATGGGTGGCAGGACAAGGTTTTTCCCGTGCATAGGCCTTCTGTTCTTCTTGATTATTTTGGCACGTGTTGCTTGGGCAAAATGCTCTGACAAGACCTTCGACTCCACATGCTTGTGTATCGATGACAGTCAATGTGGCATCAGTTTTTATGGTGCAGGAGACTTCAGGTGCCTCAATGGACAGGATGTTACTTTGGAGCAGCTTGTCCAGCATCTGATCCGAACAGATGGTGTTGTTGAATATCTGTATATTTCAGGCAGTGATATGTATTCCATCGAGCCACTAGATGGGCACCTCAAAGAAATTAGGTATGACCTAGTTGTAGAACAGACAGCCTTGCGAAATGTTTCTGGTCTTGACTGCATACAAATGATTGGCAACTTGTGGATTGAGAATAATCCTGCCCTTTCTGACGTGGACGGTCTGGGCAACGTCACACAAGTGAGTGGGGACTTGTGGATTGAGAATAATATTGCCCTTTCTGATGTGGACGGTCTGGGCAATGTCACACAAGTGAGTGGAAACTTGTGGATTGAGAATAATCCTGCCCTTTCTGATGTGGACGGTCTGGGCAGCGTCACACAAGTGAGTGGGGACTTGCGGATAAGGAATAATCTTGCCCTTTCTGATGTGAACGGTCTGGGCAATGTCACACTAGTGGGCGGGGACTTGATGATTTGGAAAAATTCTGCCCTTTCTGATGTGGACGGTCTGGGCAATGCCACACAAGTGGGTGGGAACTTGATGATTTGGAATAACTCTGCCCTTTCTGATGTGAACGGTCTGGGCAATGTCACACAAGTGGGCGGTGACTTGGTGATTTGGAATAATTATGCCCTTTCTGATGTGAACGGTCTAAGCAATGTCACACGAGTGGATGGGGGCTTGAGGATTCAGAATAATCCTGCCCTTTCTGAGGTGGACGGTCTGGGCAATGTCACACAAGTGGGTGGGGACTTGACGATTCGGGGTAATTCTGCCCTTTCTGGTGTGGGCGGTCTGGGCAATGTCACACAAGTGGGTGGGGGCTTGTGGATTGCAGCTAATCCTGCCCTTTCTGATGTGAACGGTATGGGCAATGTCACACAAGTGGGCGGAGACTTGGTGATTTGGAACAATTCTGTCCTTTCTGATGTGAACGGTCTGGGCAATGTCACACGAGTGGATGGGGCCTTGAGGATTGAGTATAATCCTGCCCTTTCTGAGGTGGACGGTCTGGGCAATGTCACACAAGTGGGTGGGGACTTGACGATTCGGGGTAATTCTGCCCTTTCTGATGTGAACGGTCTGGGCAGTATCACACAAGTGGGTGGGGGCTTGGTGAATTTGAATGATTCTGCCCGCTTTGATGTGAATGGTCTGGGCAATGTCGAACAAGTGGGTGAGGACTTGCAGACTGGGGATGGTCCTGCCCTTTCTGATGTGAACGGTCTGGGCAATGCCACGCAAGTTGGTGGGAACTTGTGGATTAGTGATAATTCTGCCCTTTCCAATGTGAACGGACTGGAGAATATTAGACTAACTTATGGGGATGTCCAAATTAGCAATAATATGGCACTTTCTGATTTGAGTGGTCTGGGCAACATCAACCGAGTGATGGGAGATGTGACCTTATCGTTTTTACAAGGTATTAGAAGTAGGGGTGGACATTTGCTTGAGAGTTTGGTTGATGTTGAGGGCAAACTTACTGTTAAAAACTGTGACTTCGACACAGTTGTCAACTTGGAGTCTCCTGGCTATGTGTTGATGCCGAATTTGACTAATGTTTGGGGCTCATTTCTGATTGAACGCAGCACAGGGTTGTCCTTATCATTGGAAAAGCTGCAGAACGTGTGTGTGAACGCAGTAAATAAATGCAGCTTCGCAATCCAGGATAATTCATTCCAGAGAACCAGTTTGTATGGTAGCCTGAATGGCACACTCAGAGGCAGTCTGTCTATCATGAGAAATCAGAACTTACACAGCATAAATTTCAAAAATCTGATTTCGTTGAGGGGAGATCAGGGAATTGGGGAGGATCGGTTTGTTGGTGGGCTTACCATTTCGTTCAACCCAAACTTGACAACAGTGGATGGGTTTGATGCCTTGGAAACCATAGCAGGAGATCTAGAAATTGTTGGCAACGAGTTTCTCAATTACATCAATTTGAAGGCTTTGTTTAGAGTGGATGGAACAACAAGGATAACACCAAGTGCTAACAGGATTCCTAGTTTTGTTTCAAACAAAGCACTCCCGTATCGCGCCGATGGTTGTCGAAAATGGCGGAACGTATTTCCAGGGTCATTTGCATTGGTGACCAAGTTGGTTAGGGAAGAGTGCAAATTCGAGAGATTGACTCCCATTCTGGTGGGTTTTGCAATAATTGGGATGTTGTTTATTATTTCTCTCTTGCTTCTTTACTACCTTGCCCTGACCATTTGCTCTCCTTACAAGGAGATGATGTCATTGGCCGACGTAAGAGACATGTTTGCATCACATTTATTGGCGCTTGCCGATGTGCTATCTGACGTTGGATTTGCCGTGACAGCTTTCATCTTATGGGACATCAAAAGAAGAAAAGAAATAGAAGGTGGAGCACGTGTTTCAGAGGGGTCCCATACAGAGCTACTTGCAATTGGTATCGCGAGTGCAGTTGTGGTAGTGATATCCCAAGTTTTTGCAATTTCTGCAGTGTATGGGTTATTGGTGACTACCCGTGTTGTTCATGATGGTACAACACGAAGATTATCGCTCATGGATTATTTGAAGGAGGGAAAGAAAATGCAGAAGTATGACTGGTTGGTACTATTTCCTGGCCTTTTGCTCCTTGATGTCGAAATCATCAAACATCTCCCATGGGGGGCAGATCTCAAAGTTGATGGCAAGAAAATGGTAGACAATGATGGGATGCCACACAAGTATTTTACCTGGGTGGCCTACATTGCTGTTATGTTGGAAGACTTGCCGCAAGTTGTCCTTCAAGTTGCTTTTGTTGTTGTCATTGAAGAGGATGATGGATGGGCAATTACTGCGGCAATGGCGTCTTTGACACTATCAATGGCAGATGTCCTGGTGAAGCTGGTATTTCCTCCTTTCATTAAACGTTTGACGAAGCACTCGCGTAGTTGCTTGAGACGCGTGAATGCAATGGACAGGACGGGGCTTTGTGGACAACTGTGTCCTCAACACTCAATGGCTGAAAGAGGAGAGACAAGTGAGGACGTTGAGCACCCTGAGAATCAATGAGACCATCTCCCAATGGAGGCTGCATCGAAAGGTTCTAGAGACAAAGTGTTTATAGCTGTAGCATGTGTAATACATTTATGAAGCCACCGGAAATGAATTGCTATAAAATCCGTCATACTGTTGTGGTGTTGGTGTGGCAGCATACCAAAGTTGCAAATGTGGGGAACGGGAATATATCTCCTGCAATGTAGGAGAAAACGATTATGATATTTTTGGCAAATAAATTCATATCTGTAAGGAGCGACGCAAAAGCGCATTCACTAAAGTTGTCTGCTTTTGCTCTTATGCGTTGGTGAGTACCATCGGGTCGTGCGACAATTTGGTCAAGTGACATTCTGGCCAAATATGAATCTTACGAGAATTTCATTTTTTTCAAGGCTTTGACGGAGTGATATGGTAAAGAAAATGCATCCGCTTCACCTGAACCCCATCCTGGTTGCGAGCACGATGGCACTGGCGCACGGGTCATGGAACCGTATATTCCATGAGGACGTGTCATTCGTGCCACCTAAAAATGGGCGTGGCTGGCCAACTCGCGAGGCCGATGGAGGGCCCCTTCCCATGGATTTTGGGGCCTTTTCTGGACACAAGCGACCATACCAGAATGCTAATGCTCGGGCGCCCTGAGCCCGTCAGAACAACCGGTCCAGCCTACACCGGCTATCCCTGGCCGGCTGTTCGTTGGCCCATCAACCACTTGGTGCCGATGTTCAGTGGGCGGCAAATGCCAATGCGCCAGGGGGCCCAATTTGGGCAAACGACAAAACACACGCTCGCGATCCTTGCCAGGGTTAGCAAAATGAAACGCGCGTCAAACCGGCCCCCGCAAGGTTATTGAACGGCCATTTGTTGCAACTTTGTTACATGGTGCGCCCATCCGCCCCGCACCATGGCCACGTATGGCGGCCTTGCTGGCAAGTCGATGGGCTCTATGGATCGACGGGTGTCCCTGGCGAGGATTTCAGCTAGAATCTGTTCGTAGCCGTGAGCCAGCAGCGTGCTCCAATGGTGCCACGCCGCAAGAGCTCCCACAAGTGCTTCCTTGTTCATGCCACCACAAGTTCACAGGGACTTCCAAGCGGGGCCCTCAAACCGTTACGCTTTTCCACATCACTAGGTATCGGCGAATGGTGGGGTGGTACCGTATTGGCTACTATAAGGTTACGATTTTTGGCCTGAGTGTCTCTTGTCCAAACTGCCACTGACCCGTTTCCATCTGCCTATGCGCAAATCCATCCTTCCATGCAATGTTTACTTCTATTTCAGGACTCCGCAAATTTTATGCATTACTGGCGAAGGTCTGAAATGCAAATTGCTGGCTTTATTCAATGTGCGGGTGCCTAGCCCGCGGGGTATATATCCACGAAGTGTATCTATTCATCTGCTGATATGCAAACAATACAAACAGCTATATAACTGAATACCTCAATTTCTATATTTGCAAGGTCTCAGAACTTGTGCAAAATTATCCGTTATCCGGTAGGGAACCGGCCAGCCACATGCTGATGCTGCATTCGACAACCAGCGCCTGGCAGCCGCCTGGCTGGTGAACTCTCGCTGGTCCGGGGCTTAAAGTACATTTGACTTAATGAATCAATCAGCAAGTGTTGCTTGTGGCCAATTGTCAGAGTTTCAATGAATCACCAAGCCCGCAGTCAATAGAACTATCGATCAGCAATCATCATAAGATTTTACACAGCAGAGCAAGGAAGCAGCGCTCACCTTCCTATCTTGCCAGTGCAAAGCGCTGCTGATTATCTGTCATTGGCATCCATGTAGTATAATACAGTGAAACTCCGGAATCGACCAAGTAGTAGTTTGCTAGAAGCGCTTGCCAATAGTAATATGGTGGAACAACTGTTATTGTAGCTGGAGAGCAGTGAATGAGACAGGCAGTGTTTTGGCACTGCAATGCCAAGAAAGAGTCAATTGGTTTTGACGTACACCGTCGCTGGCTAGCAGTGAATGTTAGAATGTATCCTATCTTCCGGGGGCCATTCAATGGTGACCCGATTGTCCCATTCTAATTACAATGATGGCACGGCGGTGACCATAATTTTATAAAATTGTGGTCATCGCCGTGCCTCGGCACCGCCAAACAAGAAGCTTTGGGAGGTGGCAACAAAGGACTATTGGACCCGCTCGACGTTATTGGCAATTGCCGCGAAAAGAGATCGGGAGCCGCTTCCTTTGCGCGTGGATAGTATGTAGAAGCTTCCACATACACACAAGTGCACACGGCCCATGAAAGTGGGCGCGTCGCCGCGAAGTTGAATTGTGATATAAATCAGCAAATTAACAATTCACAGAGGTGGGAATTCTGCTCTATTCCTATCATTTCCGTGTGTGAAAATCGCGAAGGGGTCATAAAGGTAATGAAGGATACGATGGCTCTAAAATCTGAAAAACTAAAATAATCGAAAACGACTTTCATGACCTTCGTACCCGTACGAATATACGCGTATAGGAACGTACAGGACATGTGTGTGAGATTACCGTTGGATGCTATGCGAAAGCAGAATGCAAAGGCCGGCAGCTTTGTTGCAAAACTGACATGCGCGCGAATCGATTGGGGGATTTCTGATTGCCGCCGGAAATCATAAAGTAGCTATAAGGCTGGAGGGTTATGGTCGCCAACGCCGATCATTGACCAGAAAGTGGCCAGTTTCTGTTTTGGATGTGCTATCAATATTTTGTTGTTTGCGGCAGCGGTCCTCCTTGGGATGCAGGAAGCACCAGCTCTTGAGGTATTGAGGAGGTTAAAAGGAGGATGGCGGGTGTTCATCGAGTTGATATGATTGTCAAATTTTGATACAGGTGGTAGAGGCTCATGGCTGGATTCCATTTTTATAATTTTAAAAATGCTAGTTAGCACCGGATTTGCATCGCGATCAGTTGGGACGCCTGGCACCTGTCCCCAAAGCCACTGCGTCAAAGATCCCAAGGTCGCTGCAAACGCGCACGCCTCACTGGTAGAAACAACATCCTTTGCGATGCCAACTGCGATGTCATTTTGACACAGATTGGCGCCATCATGGCAATTGCGACGGCGTAAAAGTAGCTGCGATGGCATCAATATATGTCAAATGGCATCGAAATTGGCATTCAAACAAGCTGTTTTCTGCTGGGGTCCCGCTTCCACCTGCGACCCATACGCGGTGCTTTCTAGGCCCGTTGGTGCACAGTTTGCTCCAGATTGGTCATCGAGGAGATTCTGATGGAAGCAGAGCCGTGACTTTAATTCATACTTGAGATCTGGGTGCACGCTCCGTGGTTTCAGAGCAGCTTTTTCTTGCAGGGAATCTCCAGGGGTGGCAGCACCGCTGTTGCTTGGCAGACTCCGAGGCTTAGCGAGGCGTGTCCATTGCATGCATAAGGCGAAGTGTGTCGGCAATGTCTTGGCCTCCACCCAACAGCGGCATCTTTCTTTCTGAATTGGGGGTAGTCGTGAACAGCGCACCTGGTTGATTGCCTATTTGGGCAACGCATATGCACAACGCGAGTTGCGCAGAAGGGCCGCGAATGACTTATCATGTTTGTTGCGTTGTATGGGCACTGAGCGTGATCGTGTTGTGTTGCCTGGCAGGTGAAACTTTGCCAAAGTTTCTTGTGATTCTTGTCCAGGTAGTCACCATCAAGGCCGACTCAATATGTGAGGGGCTGCCGCCTTCGCTCAACTCGCAAGAGCAGACGGCTATGGTTTTCCTCACGGCCACGTGAAGCGAAAATGCATGCCACACAAATCGCCGACGGAAAAGGAGCTGAAACCTCTCGGACAGCAGCATCACTGAGAACACCTCCCACCACAGATACGCACTCTAAAATGTAGAGGAGAGCCCGCGCACTGGGATCGACCGTATCCGGCTGCAAGCGATCCACCCCAGCTCTCTGGAAGCACGGCATTTGGACACCAGGAAGCATGTACCAGAAGTAGCAACAAGTGGCTGCGCGATATCAATTCGTACTAGCGGTAACAGGGTCGATATGCACGGTCTTCATCTCCTACGCTAGGGACTGCTACCAAACCAACAAACGATCCCTCCAAACTCCGAGCTCGGATATCAACGTCGGATGGGAGCTGCCAAAGCGCTGCGAGCAGACACAGATACATGGATGCCTCAGTTAGACCCCCATATCCCACACACCCCGTGTTCAATTCTCTGGTCCAATCTTGAAGGTCACCTGTCCACAAGAATTATGTCATTAGTAAGGCTAACGCTCTTCGATTTGATGTCTATGCAGATCGAAACACAATCCCTTAAGCAACAGATGGCCACGACACTGACGGCGGAGTCCTCAGCATTAGCATGCCATGAAAGCGGATACGCCAGCTCTTAACAAAAGTGCGTGCCGCAAATAGGTGTGTCTTGTGGCAGTGGGATGTTGTTTGAGCTCTGCACGCCCTCCATTGATGGTTCCACTTTACTGCGCCACACACAGCCAAATACCTAGGAATCATGGGCAATTTGTGTGCGCAGCATGTGCGCTTTGGTGTTCAGATCGACTGGGATACATGCTCCCCCGTTTTTTGATGATCTTTGGAAATCTGCTTTCACACATGAGTAAGACCTCTAGCAGCAGTGGTCCCACTTGTTTCTATACTGCAGTGATGCATGTGTGATAGCATTGTTTGCATATTGCAATTCCGGTCAAACTAGTAGAATTAAGCAAATTGGTTCGTCACATCAGCTAACACGAAGCTTTGTGTAGGAATTTGGTTAATAGCTATTCTCAATTGTATTTGTATGAGTTGATATTCAAATGAATATAAACTAAGTATAGTTGCAACGTTGGGTTACTCTGACTAACGTTGGTTGGCTTATTGAATCAAAAATTCCTCGATAGTTTATTTGCTCGTTGGCCAATCTGGTGAATTGATTTATTGGAATAATCAAATTGACTTATTGAATTATAGTTTTGTTAGTTGCAATATTGCAAGTAATCACATGGCTTCATTATATTTTGTCCTTATAAATAATTTCATTGGGTAAATAAATTTG